GGGAGAGGAGTATAGGATCTGGTCAACAAATATCAGAGGGTTAAATGCACCAGTGAAATGTAGGAAGGTTTTTAATAAACTCCTCAAATTGAATGTGGATATTATAGCGTTACAGGAAGTTCATATAAAATCTGGCCAGGAATTTTTACTAGAAAGACCCAAATTAGGTCAATTATATGTTTCACTTGATCAAAAAAAATAAATGGGGTGTTGCTCTATATGTTAAACAGAAGATAACTTTGAAACAAATATATAGTGATAAAGAAGGTAGGGTTCTGATTGTTGATGTTAAGCTTAACAAAAAGAATATAATTTTTGTTGTAATATATGCTCCAAATGGCGCTCAAGTATCCTTTTTTAAAAATGTATACAATAGGCTAAGAGATATGGAGGGAGATGGTCTCTGTATAATTGGAGATTTCAATGCGATTGCTGATAAAATCAAGGACCATAAAGGCACAGAGGTAATGAAAGGATATAAAAAAAAATATTACCAAAAATTTTCTTTGAGATGTGTAGGGATCTTAGCTTACAGGATGTTTGGAGAGAGAAGAATCGTGAAAAGGGGGAATATATGTATTATTCCAGCAGACACAAATCATGGACCAGAGTAGATATGCTGTGATGTACTAAAGAATTAATTTCAGAAATACATAAAATAGACATAGAGCCCAGTCTCTGGGCTGACCATAATCCGATAAGCTTATGTTTGAAAGGTCAAAGATATAGGTCAAGATGGACTTTTCAAAGAGGTATTCTTAAAGAAAAAGAATTCAGAGAAAGCATGGAGAAAGAAATGTATCTTTTCCTTCAAGTGAATGATAACGAGGATACATCTCTGCAGAATCTTTGGGATATGGCTAAAGCATATTTGAGGGGGGTTATTATCTCATATATGGCTAAGAGAAATAAAGAGAAACAGCAATATAAGATAAGGCTTGAAGCAAACTATAAGCAGGCGGAAATACTACTCCAGAGAGACCCCGGAAATAAAGGATTGGAAATAAAAATGGATTTAATTAAACATAAACTCAATTTAGAGGAATCAGAAAAATACGCACAAAAATTACAGGCAGCTAACCAAAAAAATTTTGAGCATGCAAATAAATCGGGACGATGGCTAGCGTATAAATTAAGAAAACAGAAAGAGAAATCATGGATTACTAATTTGATAGATGAAAATGGAGAAATCCAGGGGGAGGAGAATCTAAAAAGGGGTATTGCTCAGAGGTTTTATGAAAATTTATATAGGAGTA